AACGCCGACTCGCGCGCCCAGGACACCTACTTCCACGTCGCCGCCGCCGCCGCCGTCGCCGTCGTCGTCGCGGCCCCGCGCGGACGCGAGGAGGTCCGGCGGCGGCCGCGCGACGTGGAAGTAGGTGTCCTGGGCGCGCGAGTCGGCGTTGGCCGTGTCGTAGGTGCCGACGATGAGCCCCACGAAGGGCGGCGGGCCTCCCTCGGCCGCGAAGAGGGCCTGGTACGAGCCCTGGTTCTCGATGTCCGTCACCGACGGCTGCGCGACGAAGCGCGGGTGGCTGTGGTACCAGCCGACGACGTCCATGGCGTGGGCCTTGATGACCTCGCGCACGGCGAGCTCCGACGCGGGGTCCATCTCGACGTCCGTCGCGCCGTCGTCGTCGCGGCCCGTCGCGCGGCACGGGAACGGCGCCTGGACGTGCATCGCGCCCGCCGCCGCGTCCCAGCGGCCGCCGAGCAGCCCGATGATCTCCGCGTCCGCCAGGTGGGCGTGCAGGTCGCAGAGGAAGGCCACGTCCGGGTGCACCTTGAGCGCGAAGGGCTGCGCCTCCGCGCGGAGCGCCGGCCCGTCCGCGCCGCCGTAGGCCTCGCAGGTCACGAGCGCGTGCGGGCTGAGCTTGGAGCTCGCGAAGCCCTCGACGAGCTTCGTGACGCGGAGCGCGGCGTCGCGCCGCGCGCCGCCCCGCAGCGTCTTGCCGTGCGCGGAGGCCCGCTTGCCGCTCGCGTCGTCCTCGTCGTCGCGCGCCGCGGCCTTGAGCGCCGCCTGGGCAGCACAAGAGTGATTCAACGTCGCTTCAACTTGAGTGTTCCGCGCGCGCGCGTTCCGGAAAAAGCGCCCACGCTTCGAGGCCATGCCGAAAGATGATCGCTCGTCCAAAAATCAGCCGAAACGAGTGGAAAACGGCCGAGAAAGGAGCCTTTGAAGTTGGGAATTTCGCTCTCTTTTGCTGCCTTGAGCGCCGCCTTCGTCGGCGGCTTCGCGCCGAGCGCGGGCTCGTCGCCCTCGACCTCGAAGCCGTCGGCGCGCTCGTCGTCCGTGAAGAAGCCGTCGTCCCAGACGCGCGCCGCGCCCGGGCCCGGGTTCTTCGAGGAGGACCCGACGGCGTCGCCGAGCCAGTAGTCCGAGAGCGGCGTGCCCTCGTCCTCGTCCTCGGCCGGCGCCTCCTGCTTCTTCTCCTCCTTCTTCGGCGCGGCCTCGACCTGCTTCTTCTCCTCCTCCTTCTTCTTCCTCGGCGCCTCCCGCTTCTTCTTCGGCGGCGCCTCGGGCTCGTCGTCGCTCGGCGGCTCCTCGGGCAGGAACGCGCTCAGCGGCTTCTTCGTCCGCACGTGCGTCACGCGCGCCCAGAGCTTGTGCTCGGGCACGGGCCGCTGCACGCGGAGCCCCGCGGAGCCCCGCGCGGCGGCGACGAAGGCGTCGACCGTGCCGTAGGACGCGCCCAGGAAGGAGATGGCGCCGGACGCCTCGAGCGTCGCGAGCGCGGAGCCGTCGTTCGACGAGAGCCGGAGCGGGCCGGGCGTCAACGCGCCGCTCGCCATGACGCTCGCGAGCGTCGCGGGCGGCGCCTTCGCGGCTTTCGCCGTCGGCGCCTTCCTCGCCCGCTTGGCCTTGGCCGCCGGGAGCGCCTCGACGTAGCGCTTCGCCGCGTCGGAGACCTCGAGGTCGTCGTCCGGCGGCAGGCATCGGAGCGCGGCGGCGCGCGTCTTCGCGGGGCCCACCTTCGCCGCGTCCTCGAGGGCCTGCTCGATCTTGGCCGCGACGTCGGCGCCGGCGCCGCGCGTCGCCGCCGCGAGCGCGAGCTCGAGGATCGCCTTCAGGCGCGCGGCGTCGTCCGGCGGTATCGCGGCCGCCAACCGCAAGCACTCGCGCCAGTCCGACGGCGCCTTCGCCGCCGCCGGCTTCGCCGCCGCCGGCTTCCGCGCGCCGGAGCTCCGGGGCTTCTTCGCCGGCGGCCGCCGCTCGTCGACGAGGGCCTCGGACCCGTCGCCCATGCGCGCGAGCGCCTCGGCGTCGTCGATCGCGCGCCGCAGCCGCTGCGACGACGCGTCGTTTTGCGCGCGCGGCCACTCGTCCCGCGGCGGCAGCGGCGCCCAGGCGCGGAGCATGGTCGTCGCGTCGACGACGACGAGCCCGTAGTTCTCGAGCAGGCACGCGACGACCTGCGGGGCGGCGGAGTACGCGACGGATCGTTTCGCCGCGGACGCGCGCGCGCGCCTCGTCGCTCTTCACCTCGTCCCGGTCGTCCGCCGGCGCGACGGGGAGCTCCCAACCCTCGAGGTCCTACGGACGCGTGTGCGTGAGCGTTGTATCGGTCGCGTGTGTGTGAGCGTCGTTTCGTGGCGTGAAACGCACCTCCCAGGATTGAAAGACGACACCCGGCCACCACTGCGCGCCGCCGGTCAGCGCCGCCGTGTCGTCCGACGTCTTCACCCAACATATTTGCCCGCTGGAGACGCGAGCCATCGCGCGAAGTCGTGGACTCGAGGCCCGGCCGTTCACCTCTCGCCGTGAGCCGAGACCCGGGCCAATGCTGATGTCAACATGCCACATGCCCGGCTGCCAGGAGTCCTCCCAGGCCGCGGCCCCGCGGGGTACGGACCCAGGACGCCTCCCAACTGGTGCGGCCCCCCACGGAAGCCTCGCTCCCGAGGCTTCCGCGACCCCTCCAGACCCCTCCGAGGAGTCCACGGCCGCGGCGCTCCAGCAGCACTCAGTAACATTACACGACGTGGGGCCCGTGCCCCGGGGACGGACTCCGCGGCGCGTCGT